CTAGTTCTTCAAAAATTTCTCTTCCATATTTTCCAATAACATGCATGAAAAGTGCACACTTCTCCTTTGACGAAGCGGATTCTTTTCCAGAAGCAATTAAGAAACAATCGAATGCCATTTTCCATTCACGCCAATTGGTCGCCATATTCCCGTCTTGTTGCATCGGTGCCGGTTGTTGTATCGCCGTAAATACGCTATCATCGCGCCTTGAACTCATCTTTTCACTTGTCATTATTCACACAAGATGACCATAAGCAAAACAATATTAATATTTTTTAACTTTACTAAAATTAGTTTTCACACCTGACACCATGTTGTATGTGTATCGAATCAAACAACGTTTGGATGACAACTGATTTATTTAACTAATAGACCTACCTTCAAGTTCTACAATAATAGTTATATGTTAATGTACAACATACCCACTACATAGACATTTGGTATATTTTGTAGCTTTGTTAGTAATGAGTCTAAGGAGTTGAAAAAATTCGTACATGATCCAAATGAAGGTGATCTATAGATACAGATGAAAGCATACTGGTTCCCAATGTTTACGACTAGACCATCCGCATCAGACAAAGATGGTTCATATGTGGTTAAATTACGAATATTATTGCGGGCATAGACCACTACTCCACTATTCTGGTTTAAGTGTCTAGAAGTATGGTAGCTGTCATAATCGATTAATACAGGAATACTTATGCAAGACTGTAACCAACACTCAGACAATATTATTAAGTCAAAATCCAGATCACATCTTGACAAGAATATGTTCAGATCGTTGAAGTTTTTATTTACACTTCGAATATTTTGGGAAACAATTTTCAGAGAGTGTTTAGATTTAGATTTTAGTTCATGAAAGACACTTGGATCATCAACCAAATACGATTCGCCAGCGTTGATTTCGTGATCAACGCTTGACGTGACTGTATTAATGTCATTAGCCATTTTCAAAATAATTTATACGGTTATTTACTAAAGCTTTGGTATTCGGTTGATGACTTTTAGAGAAGATACTGAGTGTGTGATAATAGAATATATATACTCCATATTTGATAAACATCATCCAGACGGCGATAGAATATAATAGTATATCACAGTATGGTAATACAACTTTGCTCTTTGAATATATAAGAATAGAATTAAATATATCAAAATTATATGAATCCCATAAAATGATATACAATTTTGTGTATAGATAGATAAACAATACAATATATATAAAATTGATATTAAGGAGCATGAGAACATTATACCAAATATAGAACAAAAATAATATAAAAATGTTATATCTACCCAAGACCATTAGAAAAATGAACTTTGATGAATTTTCGCAAAATAGTCACGATGAATGAAGTGTTAGAACTTGGTCAAGGGATCTAATTAATATCGCTGGCTGACCGTCATCCTTTCGAACTAGTACGTTTCCACGAGATATCCAACTGTATTTAAAGTGTCCATTTTTTACGAGATCGCGTGCGACTTCATGCAACTTTTTAGTCAGGTTTGTAATTGCTTCTGAAATATATACTCTAGATTTTACTCCGGGTAAACCTAATTGTTCGGTGTTTAGTTGGTTACTTTTTTCGCATTTGTTATACTTTTTTACCGCTTTTAGAAGTATTTCCTTCTGCATTATATCCTGGAATTCTAGTACTATTGGTGCATTTAAGTTCTTTCCTTTTCTGTACATGACTGGCATCTCTATGGTGGACCTTATATCCAGAGTAGTGACCAAATTGGAATAGATCTCTTTAAGATTCTCAGAATTTTGTTTCGTAATATTTCTTACCTCTACCATTTTCTTCTTTTGTAGCTTTTGTACTTCATGTAATTGCATTTCAAGATTGTTTATTTTCTCATTGGCCGCTTCCTGTGCAGACTCGAGAGCAGCAATTTTTTCATTTGCAACTAATAAATTTGTGGTATTAGTTTGAAGTAGTTTTATAATTTCAGCATTTGATTGAAGAATTTGTGTATTTTGTTGTTTCATCTCCGAAATCTCTGTATTTAGCATATCCTTGAAAGATTGCATTAAAGAGTCTTTTAGATCCGTAATTTGGTCCAAATCGGGGTGACGGCGTTTCCTGAGATTAACATTCTTGACAACTTCGTTAATTTCACTTGTAGTACTGAGATCGGGTTGTGAGGAGAACAAGATGGTCTGTCCGGATTTTGGAGTGCGTTGCATGATTTATCTTTTGATTTTGCTTATACTGTGAAGTAATGGAGTGGTTTGCAGCAAATGTTCAAATGCACCTTAAATAACTGGTTATAAGTAGCAGGACAAACTATGACTCAATATTAAACTATATTTGCTATTACATAGAGGTTTTAGTTGAATGGTAGTGGCTCGATAAATTTTACGGAAATCAAAGCACACGTCTTGCTTACTTTGTGGCTCAGGCGAGACTGAGAGCGAGACTAATAATGCGTCTAGAGCTGCTCCCGGCGTGGTGCTCATGGCTCCTGTAATAATCAGACAAGCAATTCTCTGTAGGCTGTTTAGCTTGGTGGCAGCTGTGGATTGGAGGGTTTTCCTCCACCAGATTGCGCAGGCATAGGTGGTAAGCGGTCTCACCACTGCTGTGTAAAGTCATAGGGCAATTTTGGGGTTGATTCCCCATCTGGGCCCCGCTACCCGTCGGCTTATTCCTAGGGATGTTTTCGCCTTTTGAGTTATGTTGTCTATGTGTGTGTTCCATGTCAGTTTTTGGTCGAAGGTTACGCCCAGGTACTTGACTTCTTTGGAGCACTCTAATATTCTTCCATTTACTTTAGGCATGACAAGTTTGTCAAGTTTCTTCCTTTTTGTAAACGGAACAATTACTGTTTTATCAGGATTTACTGATAATTCATTTTCCTTACACCATTTAACTATGATGTTTAGTGCTCTTTGGATGCGGTCTGATATTGTTGTTGCACAGAACCCTCTGACCATGACTACTAAATCGTCTGCGTAGCCTTGTACCTCAAATTGGTTTTTGGTCATAACATCTAAGAGCTGGTCTACCGTTAGTAGCCACAGCAGTGGCGATAAAACGCCTCCTTGAGGGCATCCTTTGGTAGGTCGGATTTCTAACGTACTGTTGTGAAGAGTAGTTTTAATGGTTCGATTTGAGAGCATTGCTTTGATCCATTGAGTGGTGGTTTCATCCACTTTCTTGCGGATGAGTCCCTGTGAGATGGTCTCTATGGGCGTGTTATCAAAAGCACCCTCAATATCGAGAAATGCACATAGAGCTATTTGTTTGTCCTCAAAGGCCTTCTCGACCTTGTCGGTAAGTTCGAGCAAGGCGGTCTCTGTGGAATGTCCCTTGCGGTAGGCATGTTGATTCCTGTGCAGGGGAGCATTTTCGAGGATTGTAGCTCTAATGTGTTGGTCCAGAACCTTTTCCCTGGTTTTTATTATGAAAGAGGTTAGGCTTATAGGTCTGTGAGTCTTTGGCTGCGAGTAGTCTCTTCGACCGGTTTTCGGTACGTAGGTAACTTTGACCTTCGTTAATGGTTCTGGTATAAAACCCCAGGCAAAGCTGGCTCTAAATATTCTTACCAGATAGGGAGATAGGATGTCAAGCCCTTGTTGTAACAGGGCCGGGAAAATTCCATCTTCTCCCGATGATTTATATGGCTTGAAAGATTTTATAGCCCATATAATTTGTTTTGGTCGAAAAATCCTCGCAGCTCTGTTCCACGCCTCATGGTTGAGCTTTTGTAGATGTGAGCTTGGAGGGTTCTCCTTATCTCTTGAGATATGAACCGAACCAGGGAAGTGGGTTGTAGATAGCAGCTGTAGAGTTTCTTCCTCTGATGTCGTATAGGTACCATTGGGCCTTTTCATAAGTCCAATTTGGTTATTTGGCGCCTTGGCAAGCATTTTGTGTAATCTGGATCCTTGGGGAGTCTGAGTTATCTCCTCGCAGAAAGCACGCCATGATACTCTTTTGGCTTTCCTAATTTCGCAGTAGTATTCCGTTTGGGCTTTACTATATTGGGCCCATTCGAAAGGTCCCTTTTTAGCCCTGTTGGATAATTTGCGAGTTTTCTTCCTCAGCTTTTCTAGACTCTTATTCCACCAGGGTGTTTTACATTTGGCGGTTTTGGTTTTGATGGGACAGTTGTTCTGGTAGGCACTTATTATGCCATTTAGAAGTATGTCCACAGCGAGTTCTAGTTCTAGAGGAGATTTGATACTCTTCGGAAGGTCCGCAATTAGGCTTGTAAGACTGTCTCTGTATTTAGGCCAATCTGTAGCCTTTGGGTTTCTGTAGAGTATGGGGTTTGAGTCTGTTGCAGCCTCAATTGTGAATCTGATGTGCTTGTGATCAGACATGGAGTTCTCATTGCTGACATGCCAATGAGTGATATATTCGGCCAGTTTGTCGGTCGCGAGTGTTATATCTAGTACCTCTTGTCTTGTGGCAGTGACGAACGTCGGTGTGCACCCTGTATTTAGGATTTGAAGACAGTTGGTTAGTATAAAATCATCAAGTGACTTACCTCTGGTGTTGATGTCAGAGCTTCCCCAGTTTGTGTGATGGGCGTTTGCATCGCAGCCCACGAGGAGTTCGGCCTTGTGCTTACGGGCGTATTCCACCACAGGCTGTAGGCCGGTTGTCGGGTCTTTGATGATTTTGTTGTTTTCATCATGTCCAGGTAGGTATGCAGAGCAGACCAGTACTTTTGACCCTGTGCATCCAGGGAAATTGACGAAGGCTGTCACTAGGTCATCTGTACATAGTTCTGGAACAGTCAGAAAATCTAGTTTCTTATTAAAAAGAATGCATGCTCTAGGTTTAGTGCCAGTGGTATTAAAAAGAATATTACCTGAGGCATTGAGGCCTAAAGGCGTGGCTTTGTTGAGCCATGGCTCTTGTATCAGAGCAAGGTCCAGGTCGTTTTTGCGGAAGAGGTTTTCTATGACCGCTGTTGCTGCCATAGCATGATGTAAGTTGACCTGGACAATGTTGGCTCTGATACATTTCTTGCGTGTGGGCGTGTTAGCAGCTTCCTTTCGCCTTCCCTGTGGGACGTGGGCGTCCCTGTGGGTTGCGATTGGAAGCTGTGGCGCTCCTGCCGCGATCTTTCCGTCCCGTCTTGAAACTGGGGATCCTCGTCTGCGAGGTCCCCTTTGGCTGGGGAAAGCTGCCTCTGGCGGATTTGGCGTTGGTGTCTACGCCCTTCGCCGCTTCGGATGGTGTGGGTATTTCTGTGGCAGATCTTCCATTACCGTCCGAAGAAGGCTGCTGTGTAGGCGTGGAGATCCCCTTGACCCGGAACAGGACCTTTTTAAAGCCAAGGTTGACTTTATAGTCCTGTGTTTTGAGGAAGTCAACCGAAGGCTCGTCCAGAGATACGGTCAGGACTGTACCGTTCTCTTCAGCCTTACGGTTGAGTATTTTCCACAGTTCGGAATTTAGGCAGTCATTTTGGGACTTCAGCATTCTGAGTGCCTCATCGACCGACCTTGTCTCCGAACTGGGGATGAAGGCCGTTCCAATGGCTGGTTTGGGCATCGCTCTCTCGTCCAACACAGAGAGTTCTGCGTCGGCCCAGGGTTTTAGGGAGGGCGTTATGCTCTCCAGCCATATTTTGGTCGGCTCATTCTGGCAAGTGATTAGCAGCCAACCAGGTTTGAAACTGCAACCTACAAATCGAGGGCCCTTCCCAGCTTCCGTGATCTTGCCAACTTCCCGGAGAACTGAGGAGCGCACCATGCTCATCATTTCGTCCGTCATTGGGGCCGTGTGTCGGATCCCCACTCGGAACGATTTGAGAGCGTCCTTATAGGTTGCAGTTTCCTCCTTTGCGTTTACGTTCGTCCCTGTAGTTATTTTAAACGCGCTGCTTGGGTGCAGGCGTTCTCAACTGGTGGGCCGTATTCGTAGAACGCTTAGTTGAGCTACTAGTGACACTTGTTTTAGGCGTTTCCGCGCTGCTCCTGTTAACCTCCTTCGTTTTGGTTTTGGCTTTGAGTCCTTTTTGGGCGTTAGACCTAGGTCATCCGTCCCTGTAGGCTCAACAGCCATCTCCAAACAGTTTCCGTCATCGGATGAAAGTTCTTGGCGTTCATTTTCGTCCAAGGTACTTCCTTCAAGCAGTTTCTCAATGTCATCGATGATGTCCATATTGTGAGAATATTTAAAAGTCGTCCACTCGATGTCCCACCCTCCTCGGAGCCCGCAAATGGGGATGCCGCAATGGCACCAGGATCTTCTCGAGTGGATCTAGGAGCAGAAAGGTGGCGTCTTTGCGCGACATCGGGAGTTCGGACAACTGCGGCTAGAGAACTTCCACAGTGCCTTACCCCGTCAGCATGGCCGACTACCTTCTGTAACGAACGAAGAGACCTTCCCACTCCTCGCCGTGCTCCTGTGACGGTAAAGCACTGGACCATTTCCCGAGCAGTGGCTGGCTGCTCAGGCGACCGTTTCGCCAGAAATATGGGCCAAAGGAGGCGTGTTGTCGCCCGGAAGTAACTGCTCCGACCTCCGATTGACTCAACCTCCCAGGATCCCGTCTTCCCCGCTTCCGGCGCTCAACTGCGCAGGCCTTAGCTCAGGTAGGTGCAGGAAGCTATTTAAATTTAATAGTATATAGGTAAATATATATAAGTAGGCTATAATTAGTTCTGGTGCTTGCCCAGGCACATTTTATTTATAAATACACTATTGATACAATATATATACATATGTGCTGCAGACTCACCTACTATGCTGCAGCTGATTGAAATAAATATGATAGTTTGAAAGAGAAGAAGGATATATGAATATAAATATGACACTACTTGTAAGTTATTTTATAATATACATACATATACATACTGTATACAAAGACCCTCGCTATTTATCCGGGCTTGGGACCGGCAACTTTGAAGGAGCGGATTTTGTGGTCCTCTCCAGCCGAAAGCAGGCTAGGTTTTATAGAGTTAGGCAGTTCGGAGTCAATGGAGCGAACAGAGGGAATGTTTGCTTTGATGAAACTTACAGGCGTTTTGAGCTCTGTAACTTTATCTATTAATCTCTTCCCGTGTATATCTACCAATAAGCGGTAGTGCTCTAGAAAATCAGCGCCTAATATAGGCATTTTGACGTCAGCAATGATGAAATTCCATTTGAAGGAACGTCGTAAACCCAAATTTAAGGTTAGTGTTTTTTCCCCATATGTCTTTATCACGGTTCCGTTTGCGGCGAATAATTTTAATTCGCTAGCGCTCTCATTGGTCTGTGCTTGCTTTTTGATCACCGAGATATTTGCTCCGGTATCCACCAAAAATCTATAACCACTGTTAGAGTCGGTTATAGCTAGGCGGTTAGACGGATGAACAGCACAGCGTTCCGTCTTATTCTGCGTCGAATCTAGTTTTCCGACGGTTGTCTATAGGAGCGCGGCATGTCACATTTGTATGCCTTTTCTTTATATTTGCGATGATATAATACAAATAATAGTCATTTTTCTGACTATGCAATGACCGTAGGTGCGAATTTGACCTAGATCGGTAGCTGCTGTGTCTGTTTGTGTGTGGCGAGCGCTTTTCGCGTATATCAGCAATTTCTGATCGCAGTGTCGCAATTAGTGACGACAGGTGTGCAATGACGTCGGCGGTGACTGTTGGCTGTACTTTTGTAGACAGCATTTTTGCTTTATTTTTCCAGTTTCAATTTTTCGTCCAGAGATTATATCCAGCAGGCAGTTGTGTTTACTGGGGGTCAGTAGCACAGCAGGACTTTTATGCCTCTTGAATTTCCGAGCCGGTGAAACCCGCTTCTGGGAAGCTGGTGGAAATGTGCAATCGTTGGTGGTGCGCAGGATGCCGTCAGACACAGATCTCGTCGTTTTCCCAGGTATCGACCACGTCGGCCAGTTCACGTCGGGGTCACCACTGTTGCAGGTGAATGATACGATGTTGTTGGTCGAGACGATGTATATTACAGATGATGATAAACTGACAATGTGTACACAGAAATAATGATCTTATATACTAAATAACAATAGGAAAATGTAAGGTGGGGTGACACAGTTTAGATACAGCAGTGCCTAGTAGACAATATTTAATTTGTCTTACTAGACATTATTAAATGTAATTATTATTTTATGTATCTAGGTGACTGTGTCCCATAATGCCCAAGGAGGCGAGGTCAATTTTGTCCTTCGCCTCCTTAAAGACCTTTGAGTAGATCATTCCCGCCGCTTCCGCCTCCGGACATAGGGAGACGACTACGGCCGCCGAGCGCGGTGCACGCAGTTTGGATGGTGACGGCGAGGCCGGCTTACCCTTCTTTCCCTGAGAGGGGGCCCCAGAGCTCCTCTGAGTACTTTGGGCACTCTGGGTCTGCCTCTCAGGGACGTTGCGTTTTTGCCGCCGCGTCTCACCACTGTGCTCCATCCATCGTTCGCGCGCCCCGCGCCCGACGGCCCCGGTTGTTGACTGCCGGATGTAGGCCGGCTAGCCTGTTAGGTGGTGCCATGCCTTTTTTTTTTTTTTTTTAACGTGTGGAAAATATTCAAAAAACCGTCACCCCGCCGGCGGGAGGGCGGGGCGGTGTGTGAGATTTGTACTCACCAAAAACCACACTCTCTCGCTACTGATCATCCTCCGAACTAAATTCGGCAGCGAGAGATCGTCCCCCACTATTCGTGTGCGGACACGGCGCTCACTCTCGAACGCTGGACATTCGTCCAGCGTGTGTTGCGCCGTGTCCTCCACACCTCCGCACTCGTGGCAGCCGGTCGTCGGCTCCTTCCTCGCCACATGACACAGATACCGCCCGAAGCAACCGTGCCCGGACAATATCTGTGTCATGCGGTACGTCAGTGGCCATCGCCTATTCATCCACCTTTTGAGGGTGGGACGGACAGCCTCGATGGTCCTCAGGCCGGCTGACGGGTTCATCAACCTTGCCCGCTATTCGATCCTGAGGATCAGGAGACAGGCCACATTTTCCCTACCTAGGGCCCCCACCCAGATGGGGGCCCCGTACAGGGCCATGGACCGCACCACGCCGAGGTATAGGCGGCGGGCCCGGGCCCCACACCGGGCCGCCCGGGCCCCTCACGTTTGGCAGCAGCCAGCTAAGAGCGCCGGCGGCTGCCATAAGGCGAGGGACCAGGTTCCGGAAATGAGCGCGGAAGCTCCAACGACTGTCCAGGTCAAGCCCCAAATACCTAATACAGGGCTTGACCCCCACCCTCTGGCCACTGACGACCAGCTGGGCATCCGGAGGTGGCGCACGCCGAGGCCCATGAAAACATAGGACCTCGGTCTTCTCCAGCGCCACCTGGAGCCCAAGCTTCCTTATTCGGCCGACGACCAGTGCCACGCTTGCCGTGGCAAAGCGGGTAGCCTCCCGTAGGTCCCGCCCCGGGGCAGTGACCAAGGTGTCATCCGCGTAACACACGAGGTCAGTGCCCGTTAAAAGGGCGCCCCGCAGGTTCCAATCATACCCGATGTTCCACAGGATCGGGCCCAGAACCGATCCCTGTGGAACACCGCGTTGCATTTCCCTCGACACTACAACGCCGTTCCGCCCCGTGCAGAGCACAGACCTGTCTTCGAGATAGGACACGATCACTTCCCGAATGTAGGGAGGCGCGCGATGGTACTGCAGCGCCTCCCTAATAGTCGCAGGGTGTTGAAGGCGTTCTTAATGTCTAGAGAGACCGCCAACAACACCCCACCCTGGGACGTCGCCTCTTCCGAGAGGGAGCGCACACGCGAGATCGCGTCGATCGTCGAGCGCCCCTCTCGGAACCCGAACTGCTTCGGGCTGAGATAGGGACCTAACTGAGACAGGTGTTGGACGAGTCGGCCCGCCAAGATTCGCTCGAAGAGCTTGCCGATCTCGTCCAACAGCACTATGGGGCGGAACGCCGAGGGAACCACCGAACCAGCGGGGTGCTCCGCTTTGCGGAGCAGGACCACTCTACCCGCTTTCCACTGATTGGGAAACCGTCCCGACTCCAGACACGCGTTGAACAAGCGCCGGAGTCGGTCCCCTAGGGTGTTTAGGGCCAAGGCCACATGACACAGATACCGTCCGAAGCAACCGTGCCCGGACAATATCTGTGTCATGCGGTACGTCAGTGGCCATCTCCTATTCATCCACCTTTTGAGGGTGAAACTATCTTAACCTAACTATATATACAAACCTAACTAACCTAACTAATTAATAAAAGAAAAAAGAAAGAAAACAAAGAAAATAAAAATAATTAACTAAAACCTACAAAACTTGCGCTAAAAAACTTTCAAAACACCCAAAAAAAAACATCCCAGGTGGTGCCATGCCTTTTTTTTTTTTAACGTGTGGAATATCTTCAAAAGACCGTCACCCCGCCGGAGGGAGGGCGGGGCGGTGTGTGAGATTTGTACTCACCAAAAACCACACGGTGTACCTACGAGCGCCTATGCCGGAGCCAGGCGATTCGCAAGTGCATTACTACCCCAGCTCCGACGGCGACGGCCCGCCCTGTAGATGTTGTAAGGCAGGCCCCATCTCGTTATGTGGTTAGGGCGACCTATTTCGCCCTACTCCATTGTGGAGGCGTGTGGGTACACGCGCACACCTCCGGGGCCTTTGGATTGGGGGGACTGCCTCCCTCAAGGCAGTCACCCCGGCCCCAGTGGGGGATAGAGGGGGGCGGAGTTGGATACGCCCCCACCTCTAGGCCTGGCTCTTCTGCGGCGGAGGGAAGCGGGACGAGCTGACTCCCGCTCCCTTTCCGCCGCCTCCTTCCGCGA